CCCCCCCCCCCCCTTCTCTGAACTCTCTCATCAATCCACTTATTTTCTGCTTATCTGCTTGGAGCCCTCCAAGCCCCCTGAAGTTTCTTTTGAGCTTTTCATTCACTCGCAGATAAAAACATGCGCTTCCCAGTTGCCTTCGGCCGGGAAGGGCTGGTGTTGGGGTGCGAGGCCACTAGAGGGCGGAGGGAGATCAGGAATGGGGTGCGGGGCTCGGGGGGGCTTCCCGGCCTTGGGGGGGGTCTTTGCCAGCCCAGTCCTGTGTCTCTAATAGCTAATAGAGCCCCCCAAGCAGCCTAATAGCTGCGGGGGGCTTGGCACCGAGGTGAAATCTGACCTTTCCGGTGCCTTGGCGATATTGCCCATGTTTTGCAAGGGAAGCCAAAGGCTGTGCTTGGCTCCCGGGCTGTGCGGGGCCTGCGGCACCAGGTGCCCAGACTCAGGTTTGTCTGTCACTTCACTCCTCTCCTTTCCCATGCTCCGGGAGGCGGGTGTCCATGTGGGCCCATGTTGTGCGTGCTGCAAAGCTGTTAGAGAAGCTGTACAGCCTTGCCTCACCCCGCAGGGTGCCGTAAGAGAGAGCTTGCACAGACAGCAAAGACCCTTCTTCCCAAAATTGTTAGCAGGCTGCAGTCCTAAGGACTTACCCACCAGACGATGGAGCCGGCCAGGTCCTTCCTGGGGCCACCGTCACCAGTTGCTTCTTCAGCAGAGCAACACAAACCAGTCACAGAATCACAGAATGCTATGGGGTTGGAAGGGACCTCTGGAGATCATCTCTTCCAACCCCCTGCCAGAGCAGGGCCACCCAGAGCAGGTTGCACAAGAACTTGTCCAGGTGGGTTTGAATGTCTCCAGAGAAGGAGACTCCACCACCTCCCTGGGCAGCCTCTGCCAGGGCTCTGCCACCCTCAAAGTGAAGAAGCTCCTCCTCACGTTTAGGTGGAACTTCTTCTATTCAAGTTTGCACCCATTTCCTCTTGTCCTGTCCCTGGGCACCACTGAAAAAAAGACTGGCCCCATCCTCTTGACACCCACCCTTTAGGTATTTATAAGTATTGATCAGATCCCCCCTCAGCCTTCTTTTCTCTAGAGCTGATGCTCCACAAGGATGAGAGGCAGTGGGGACTGATGCTAAATGGCACTAAGAACGGAGGATGCTGGGATAAGGGAGAAGGTGGGGGCTTGTCTTAGAACAAGGGGGTAGAAGATGGCTTGGGGGAGCGGTAGCTTTAGTGAGAAGTGAGAGCAAAGCGGGGTTGGGGGGAGGCTGGCAGAGCTGGAGATGGTGGCCGTGTGTGCTGGGGCTGCGGGGCACGCAGGACACGCAGGACACGCCGGACAGGCACTTTGTGAGCAGGACACGGGCCACGGGCTCGGCTCGGCTCTAAAGGAGAAGAGGCCCCACAGCAGCAGCTTAGCGAGAGGCCTGGTGTTTGGTCTGTTCCACATCAATGGGGCGTCCAGCTGTGGCTGAGGATGAAAGCAAGCGAGAGAGAGAGGATTAAAGGCTCCCAGGGTCTCCTCTAACCCGCCTAAGACTCGCCGAGAGGGCAGTGTGCGGCTTCAGGAAGGCTTCTTCATATGGAAAATATTATGTGAGGGAGAGAAAGAGAAGGGGGAAGGGAGGAGGGAAAGAGGGAGACTTCTGTCCAGAGAGTGCTGGGGGAAGACTGATCGCAAAAAGGCATTTTGGAGGCTCAGATCGAGCCCAGGGAGAAAGTGCTGAGCTCTGCCATACCCGACGGAGCACAGGTGTGATGAGTTTGGGAGGCCTGCAGACCGGGGGGAGGTCCAAAATGTGCTAAGAGCACATAGCAGCAGGAAAATAAAGGGATGAAAGAGGGGAAAGTAGAGAAGGGGAACGAGGAGGCTGGCAAAAGGGAGGAGAAAGGAGAGAAATGGAGGGGGGAGGTGGTGAAAGACGGAATGAGGGCCACGGAGGAGAGCGGGAGGTGGTGAAAGGCCGGCTGTCTGCTCCATTGTGTTATTAACCAGGTCGCCAGGTGGAAGCGCCCCGCGTGCAGCCCTCCTGGCCCGCTCCCTACCCCGCCAAACTGCTCCCAGGAATGCTTGTGATGGAGAACAAATTGCTAACAGAAGTGAGACATTTTGCACTGAATGCAAGCAAGTTTCCAGTGAAAGGTTTCCTGTCAGCGGGTCGGGGCTGGAGGGTGTGGAGCCTTTCTGCCTGCTCTGGCAGAATAATCCTGCGAGTTAACACGCAGCGTTGGTTATAGTGCAGGATAAAGGACCTGAGGCTGGGCTTTCCTGCCTTCTGTTTTGGCTGCCACCGTTTGGCTGCTTTCATTCACCGTTATTTTCTGCTTCACCCGCGTGTGGCATTCTTGGTCTCATTAGCCCTTCCTCCTCTCCCCCGGCCGCCCCCCGCTGCTGCGATCTCCTGAGTATTCACAGGCTTCCACTCTACTTTCCTCCTTGATTTATACTGTTGAACTGAATGACCTTCCTTGACCTCATTTTCATGACAGTGTGAGCACACACACTGGCACTGGGCGAATGGCAAGGAGAGTCTCTACCTTGCAGTCCTGCCCTCTGGGCTGCAGGGACGTTAACCCTCCCGGGGGGTGGGTTTGGGGGGTGCTCACACGCTGCGGATGGGTGCCCCATCGCCGGCATCTGCAGCCCTGCCTTGCACACGTGGGAGACGTGGAAGGTGCTGGCTGAAAAATGCTGATCTGTGTCTCTTTGCACATATGGACGGTGTTTAGCCGAGCTGGCGTGTGTGCACGAGCAGTATGCAGGAAAATCCTCCTGGATATTTCACTCTGTGTATAGATGTGCAGAAATTTTCCCTTCTCCATCACCTGTGCTTCGAGGGAGCCCACAGATATATACGGTTTGTCCCTGTGAGAAATGCACACCAATGCTTTCTCTCCTTTCTATCCAGGTTGCTGTGTTCTTGGTCATCACTGCAGTAGCTGAAAACTTGCTTTCATGGGCCAGACAAGGCAAAAGCCAGAGCTGGGAGATGTGCACTGACTGCCTGGTATGGACACACTTGCAAGGTGAGGGAATTTCTACTACCACGAATACCTTGCTGCCCTGTGACTCCTCATGGAATAGGAGGACCTCTTCTCCCTCCTCCCTAGAAAACACATAGCCGAGTCTCTGTTCCCGGTTCTGAGGAATTTCAGACAAAAGTCTGAAGTTCTTAAGTGTAAGAGGAGCAGCCAACCCAAAGGTGCTGCTGGGGTTTGGAAAAGCAAGTCGGCCGTGATCCTGTTTGCCATCCTCCAGCTGCACCCCACCCAGACTCCACGCTGACGGCCCAAAGCCGAGTGTCTTCCACACTCTTTCTAAATAGTTGGCAAAGCAGCTTTGCCCTCTTCCCTTGCCCAGCGGTACATAAATCCCTTTGTCCCCTGGTCTGGAAATCTGCCTTCCTGTCCCTCCCTTCCCTGCCTTCCTGGGAAGTCAGCGTGGATATGGTGCTGCCGGCTTGCCTGTCTGAGCTGCTTAGTTAAGAATAATAAACAAACTCCTAAATGGAAGGATATTCTTTAAACCTGCCTTGTGCTGCCTGCCAGGGAATGCAGGCAGCAAAGCCCACCTCCTGTCCCCCCTCCAGCCCTGGCTCCAGGCTCTCCTGAAACCTGATCGCCTTTGCTGCCGCGCTGCACCATGGCCTCTGTGTGCACCTTCCCCCCTGACCCTGTCTGGATTCTCCTGTCCTTCTCCTGCCACACACCCGACCGAGCACATGCTCCTCGCTCAGACACACACTCACCAGAGGGGCACGCAGTGACACCGCTGCGTCTGGAAGCCGAGGCAGAGGTGTGCTGTGGGCACGTCGGGGATTTACACGTATTGCCCGTGCCCACCTCGTGCCCACACAAACACTGTGAGAAGTGATGCGAACGCCCACCATGCCAACACCCAGGAGATGCTCACCCCTTTGGGAAACCCACCCATCTTCAGTGTGTGCAGATCGGAGGCAGAAATACTCCAAAAAGTTCACAGACACATGGAAGTGCTGCCCACGCAGCCCCGGACAAAAGGAAGCATGGCTCGGGTCTGCAAAGAAGTGGCAAGCTCATATCACAGTGTGACAGCAGAGCAGAGCATACCTAACTGCAGGCTCACCAATAAACCCCACCAGCCTGTGTCCTGACTTCTCTCGCTCACCTCCTTTTGGGGAGGAGTCCATCCATCTCACTATTTTTCTCACTTTCCTTTCGTATATGTACACAGTCCCTTCACTCTCACACATCCCAGCTTCCCTACACATACCTGCCTGTCTGCTCTCCCACTCCCTGGAGGTTTCTTTCTCATACAAGGACACGCCACACACCACCCTCGTGCTTGAAATGCAGACCTTCTTGTACACAGCTGGTTTGCTTTCCCACTCTCTGCTCCTTGCAGCTTCTCTGACGCAGGTACATCTTTCCCTGTCTCTCCACGTTGCTCGTGCACCTTTCATTTAGGCACACAGCTGTCTTCTCCCACCTTCTCCTGCTTGTTCCCCCCCTTTCAGCTCCCACAGCTTCCCAGCTTTCCTTCCCTGTGGCCTGTTTTCCTCGTGCCAGCATTCATAGCGAGCGGGAAGAGGATGTCAGGGAGAGGCTGAGCAGTCCCTGGGACCCTCTGGCCCTGCCACACTTTTCAACCCACTTCTCATTTTTCTTCTTCTGTTCATGTAATTCATTGTTTTCGGCTCTCCTCCTCCTCCTCAGTGCCTGCTAAAGGGAACTCGGCTCCTTGCCTCCTCTTCTCTCCGTTTTCATCTTAAGAGAAAGGGAAAAACCCATTTTGCTCTTTCCCCAGCTCCAATTCCCCTTCCACCCCCACACCCTCCCACCCCCCTTCCCAGCCCTGAAACCTTTTCCTGATAGTGTTGCTGTAACTGTTCAATTAAACGAGCAATTACAAAATCAATCAAACCGAAACGTGTGCTGTGCGCTGAGGGGGGACCGACTGCAGAGTGGGGACGTCGCCGGGGCCCGTCCCAGCCTGAAGGCAGCTCGGCTCACACTCAGCTGAAATTGTCTGGGCTGATGGTGAGACCTTGCTCTGGGGGCAGGTACTCGCTTCTGCAGGGTCGGACTCTGCTGCGTGAAGCCGGAGCATCGCTGGTGTCACTCCACCTCCAAGCTTCCCCCATCTGAGAAATTCCTGGCAAAAGTGTTAGTATTAACCACGGCCTTTGGTTTGAATTGGCCGGGAAGAGGATGCCACTTGGAATAGGTCATTGGGGATGTTCAGATGAGGCTGGTTTTTGCAGCAGGAAGAAGGAAAGGAAGTGATGAGGGGGAAATGGTAAACCCAAGGCTGAGTTGTCTTGTGTAATTTCATGAGGTTACACCTGCTGCCTTCCTCTCTCCTTCCCTGTGTACCTTTCTGCTCCTGCTACACACTTAACACATGTCGCATCACTGTGTGCCATGGCTCTTTGCCACTCTCTGCTGTTTTCTCACCAGGTGACGCTCACACTGTCCTGCTCCCCACGATCCGTGTCTCCTCAGAACTACATCCATGATTTTTCACTGCAGGAATTCCCTTTTTGACACCTGCAGCCCTCCTGGTGCTGTCATAAGCGAGCAGCTGGGCTGTCCCAGCCACAAAAGCACAAATCCATCCAAAGTGATCACAAACAAGAGAAGGTGAGCTGGAGAACAGGTTGGATTAAGAAGAAAATGTGCAAAGCAGATATGTTTTGCTTCATACATGGGCAGAATCATGGCAGTTTTCCAGTGGCATGAGGAAGCCAGCTTTGGCACATGGTATTTGCAGAGGAGACACAGATCCTGCTCTTGAAAACCCCATCACCATCTCATCCCTTGAGAGGCTGAGGCAAACCAATGAGAATTTGGGACTGGAGAGCTTAATGGAAAGATGGCGAAGGCTTTGTTATCTGCTTATGAGAAACATACATGAAAGGAACGCCTTCTAGAAAGCCCTTTGCCCCAGTATAATCCCCTTGGGCTGTCAGGAGCACACCTCTGTCTTGCTGGTGGATTCTGGTCCTGCTCTTGGAGGAAGACTTCCCTCAGATTTAAGAGAAGTGGGGTTGGAGCTGTTTAATGAGATGTTCTTATCCCAGACTTGACCCTGATTCTGCACAGTCAGAAAAGCAGCATCCCAAAGGCTTATCATTCCTTTAAGAGCAGAAATCTGGCGAGTTTCCTAGGGCAGGAGTCCAGTTTGGCTTGAATTTTTAGTGAGTAATACTTAAAGCCTGGTCACCCTCCGGGTCCTGTGGAAACACAAGACTCTGACACTTCCTAATGCAGCAGGAGGTAACGCAAACCAATTTGCAAGGATGCTTTAACGAGGTCCCCCGTCCCCATTTGTTTTTAGTTTGGTCACGTCCCGATTTACCAGTTTTATATATATTAAAATATTGAAGACAAGCACTGATACACAGCTGCTGCTTTCCCCTTGTTGGAAGTCCCCTGTGTCTGATGGTGACGCTCAGCGCTGTTGCAAAGCTCATCTTTTCCCTCACCCACCTGGAAATGACAGGATTGAACCCCCTGCCCTGGGCAGGGACACCTCCCACCAGACCAGGTTGCTCCAAGCCCCCTCCAACCTGCCCTTGAACCCCTCCAGGGATGGGGCAGCCACAGCTTCTCTGGCCAACCTGGGCCAGGCTCTCACCACCCTCACACCAAAGAATTTCTTCCTGGTATCTAATCTAAATCTCCCCTCTTCCAATTTAAAACCATTACCCCTTGTCCTGTCACTGCACTCCCTGACAACGAGTCCCTCCCCAGCTCTCCTGGAGCCCCTTCAGATATTGGAAGGGGCTCTAAGGTCTCCCCGGAGCCTTCTCTTCTCCAGGCTGAAGGACCCCAACTCTCAGCTTGTCTTCATAGGAGAGGTGCTCCAGCCTCTGAGCATCTTTGTGTCCCTCCGCTGGAAAAACAGGGAAATATGGCCCCTGCTCAGGGTAATGCACTGCCCGCTCTGAGATGACCCCCCGGCCCCCCCCCTGGTGCTCCTGCAGCCCCCAGACTCCCCTCGGGGCCCGATCCTGCCGGGGTGGCCGGGGGAGGGAGGTGCTGCTGCAGTGCCACGTGCGGCGGGGGCTGCGGGATGCCACGCGGGTGGCACCGAGCAAAAGCCCTTGGTCACGTCCAGCTGTCTGTTTGCCATCTATATTTGGTCAAAAAATGATTTGGAGTTGTTTGTTTGTGGCTCCTTGGAAACCCCCCTTTAAGGCACGGCTTCTTTTGTTTGGTTACTTGGGAAAAATATTTTCCCCTCCTTCTTTCACTATTTTGAAACATAAAAAAAGCAAAGCTTTAAAGAGCCCAAGAATATCCAGGATGGACTGCCAGCGGCAGCCTCTCTATCTCTCCTCATGGCTCAGTGCTTGCCTTGGTCTTCGTCTCTTCCAGACACTCTGCTCCACCTTCTTGTAAATTCTGACAATGAAAACACTATTTAAATGTCCTCCAAGTTTCTCTTCCCATTGAAAAAGGGGATTTATTCTCTCTTTTTTTTTTTTTTTAATCAGAATTAATGTGATTCTAATGTGTTCCTTTTGATCTTCAGGGGATTTTTTACACTGATGATCCCTAATTTTGAAATGATTTTTTTTTTGTTTTAATTGTTTTAAAAAGCTTTAGTGAAGGGGAAAAAAAAATCCATCCTACTTCTTTGGCACATCTTTAACCTTTAAGTACCTCCGGAAAAAAAATATTTAAAATATATTATACATTTTTAAACAGGGTGCTTTTGACAGGTCAGTTTCAAACCTCTCTCTCTTTTTCTTGCGCTGTGTTGGAATAAGACAATTTTGCAGCTTGGATTTTTTTGACAGTTAAATTGCAATGTAGGCAGAGGGTGGAATAGGGATCCTGTCTCTTTAACTCTCTAACTAGACAAAGACTTTTCCCCTTTGAGAGCTGAGCCCGGGATCAGAACTGTCAGATGATCTCGTAGCACTTGGGAGAGTTTGCAAAGTCATAATTATATCTTTTAACCTGTCTTGCTCTTTGCAAAAGAAAGGTCCTATTATATTGAAATGAGATTATTAGCCATCAAATACTTTCTTTCTTGGGATTCTTCTTCTTTAAAAAAAATTCAAATACCTTAACTACTTTGCAATTGAATTTTTATAAGATTTACTTTTCACTAAATAAATGTTCTGTAGCAGCTATTTTTTAAGGTATTTTTAAAAGGGTGTTTTCAATATGCAGATGCAAAAAAAATCAGACTAAATGTCTGAAATGTCACCTGTATAATTAAAGGAAGGTAAAGTTTCAGAGCTCAGTTCAGGGTTTTTTCCCTGGCTTAGTTGGTGAGCTTCACTATTCAAAAACCCTGCTGCTTTTCCTGATATCATTGCCAAAAATATTTTTTTCCTGAAACCCAATCATTTTCAACCTTCCATTTTCTCTCTCTTTTTTTTTTTTTTGTGAGTGTCTTTTCTTTTTTCCCCAAATGTGAAAAAAAAAATCATGAAAATGAAACCCCAAATAATTGGAGAAGTGGTTTGGTATCTTTTGTTTTGTTTTGTTTTTAAATCCACACAATTAAAATCGCTGCACTGCAGTGTCAATATGTGCTTTAACAAAAGGTGACGACTGCATCAAAGCCATCAGGGTAACACCAAAAAGCTTAGTAAAATACGATATAAAATTCAAGTGAGAGCCTCTTTAAACTCACTCATCCCAGTACCGCTTGGTAAAATAGTTACACCCAAGTCTAATTTGAAACTTGAGATTAGTTCCAGGTTACACAAACAATAAATATTTGGCACGTGTTTAAATATCTTGCTGAATAAGGGCTGAAGAGATTCTAAAGTACTTGAAATCCATGAAGAATCTGGGCCTGATCCAAAGACCTTCTGGAGCCGGCAGAGGATCCTTCCACCTGCTGCAACAGCTTCGGCTCAGGCACCCCTTTGTTGGAAGTGACTGGTCACTTTAATGGAATGATTAAAGTGCTGTCATTTATAGCTCTATAATTCAGATTGTGTCAGCCTTTCCATTATAAACTCTCTTTCTTTGCGAGGGTGGGTTATGTCTTGGCCATAAAAATTCATTCTGAGATTAAATTCGGCATGTTCCCGTCTAACAAAGGAATCGTTCCTTGTGCAGACAAAACTCCCCATTAAACTCAGGGGATGCCAGGAGGTCACAACTAGTTTACATTTTTTAAGGGATTAGATATATTTAAATTTTTAAAAATGCTTTGCAGAGTACACAAGACCCAATCCTGCACCACCCTCAATCCTGGGAGTCACTTCACCAGTGTGAGCAGTTTAAGATAATTGAAGTAGTTTAAGATGCTGTTGCCATGAGGAAAGTTACTCATATTTGTATGTATTTGCTAACACCACTCTCTGTATGTTTGGTGCATACCTTTGGGAAGGTCCTTGGTTGCACACTGTCACAATGCCTGTGCATTTTCACTTGACTATATACTTCTTTTTTTAATTCCAAGGGCTAAGAATAAAGGCCATTATTTAATACACGTTTCCTTAACCTTCTCAAAAAGATGTCTCGGACATAATGAAAACCAGGAGACTGACAGATCAAAAGAACCTCCCTGATGGTAAATAAGGCCTGATTCTGAATGAGACCCACCTGGGGAAGCTTTGTTCATGAAGAACCTCAGGAGGGGAACGTTAGGAAATTCATTGAGCTGCACTTTATATAAACCTAAGCACCTGCTGGATGTTAAGCATGTGTTTTCTGTATCTCTGGAACTTCCTTCATGCTCCTGTTGCTTTGGTATTGAAACACCTCCCTGTCTTACCTGATTTTAATACTCACAACCCTATTACATATTAAATATTATTTTTTCCTTGGTTTATAGGACAAACTCGGTGCCTTCAAAGAAACTACCTGACGCTGGATCAGCGTTCTCTGTCTGTCCAGTTTTGAATTCCTATTTTCATGCTGAAGCTGCAACACCAGCTCCCTCCAAGTTCAAGGTAGGAGCAAATGTCTGGTTTTACTTCTGTATTTGCGTCCTTATATTTCTTTTCCAACCGGATGACTCAAGAGGAAAGAGCGGCAGATATTCATATAGTACCTCAATAAGCTGCCTTTAATTGTCTGTGTGTGCTAGAGAGTCGGGCAGGTAAAGCCAGAGAGCCAGCTCAACCTGTGTAAATTGGCAGTGTCCCCCTGGCTCACTGGAGCAGCTCCAGTTTACACCACTGAGGATCTGACTTGGAATTTCAAGGCTTTTCAGTCACCATCATAAATATCTCTTCTTTTTCTTGGCAATGAAATAATCCATAGAGTAGTTCCAAAAAATTAAAAGAAGTTGTTGGCAGATGTGTCTATTAGTTTGAGCTGGAGGTTTTTGGCTTTTTTTTGAGATTGGAGCTCAGACACGGGGCAGCATGGAGGCTTCTTAATGTCCACAGTAGCTTTACCTTTGGCTGTGCAGCAGCTGAGCTCTCCCTAGAGGAAGATCCTTTATTTCTCTGGGTTGACTGTAGAGAGGCACAGGAGGGGCTTAAATGAGAGGCTGAAAATACATAGTAAGAGGAATTCAAAACTCCCCCTTGTCTAAGGGACAAGCCACCCTGATGAGGCCAGAGGTCCACTGAAGTCCATTCCTTTGTTCCAGCCTTTGGCAGAGATGGTGTGTGGCTTCTGGAATGTAAGCAGTAGGTGATGTCTCACTTTGCGTGTTTGAAACATGGAAAATAGCATCTTTCTCAACTGCAGATTCCTATGGAAAACGTTCTCAGCCTTCTGGGAGTGAAATTCCTCTGCAGGGCAGGAGGTGTTATGCTTTTGGAAGCCCTGCAAAGTCAGGCCTGTCATTGCAATGGAAGGAGATTGGGGTTGGCGCCTCCGTGGGTGTGAGTGTAAACATCCATCTGGGTGTGCCAAGGAGAACGTGCCCTGGCTTTGTTATTGCTGAGGCCCGGCTCCACTTAAACTTTCTCCTGAGTGATTATCGACGTGCTTGCAGTTCCGGGGGACGTGGAAATTGGCTTGTTTACTCTCATTTGGCAACAGCCAGCTCTCAGCCCTTTGAGGCACTGGAGTGCTTCCCTTGAAGTCAAGAGTTGCTGTTCAGCAACTTTGCAGAGCAGATCTGAGAAGAAACCGAGCCCATCTTTTGGACAGAAAAATGAGCTCTTAATTGGTGCAGCTCACCTCTGCCGTACCCCACGCGGTCTCTTTCCTGCTGATCCCCCCGTTGCTGTCACCAGCCTGTGCTCAAACCCGCCAGTGCCGGCACAGACCGAGGTGAAAGGTTGTATAAATTCCCGTTCAGAGCTGAAATTGCCTAGATTTTTTAATTTGGTCCTGGGACTCGTTCAGGAAAAACGTCAAAGCTTTCTGCTCCGTTATTTGTGCTGAACTAAAAATAACTTTGGGGGCCCCACCTTAACTGAAACACGCTCCTTTGAAAACAGAGCAGTATACAAATTCCCATGGGCTGCTTCTCTTAGATTTCTGGCAGCTGCAAACCAAAGCCATCGGAAGTTAGAAAACCATCACTCCTTGTGGTGTCACCTTCCTGATAGAAATCAATGGCTCTATTGAAACACAGCAAGTGGCAGCTCCAATACGTGGAGGAAGGACTTGCTTTATTTCCAGCTGGACATGGCCAAGGCTTCAGTCAGAGCCGCCAGTGCAGTAACTAACACTGTCGATGTCTAAACACCAGCGTAGAGGAGAAGTGGCTGCCCCATCCCTGGAAGGGTTCAAGGCCAGGCTGGAGGGGTCTGGTGGGAGGTGTCCCTGCCCAGGGCAGGGGAGTTGGAACTCAATGATCTTTAAGGTCCCTTCCAACTCTAACCGTTCCATGAAAAGTGCTCTGCAGTAGAGGAGCTGCCCTCTGTATTGCCTTTTTCTTCTAATAATAGTGCAAAATCTGAACAAGGAGTCTGGGCAGCACCTTGAGTGTGCATCTGTTTGCTCTCCAGCCAGTCCTCTGCAGGGGTTGTCTGCTCAAGGCAGTGAAATTTGTGTTTGGGATCGCCATGATCCATGTGCAGGACCTTGTACTTGGCCTTGTTGAGCTTTGTGAGGTTCACAGGGGCCCACTTCTCAGCCTATCCACGTCCCTCTGGATGGCATCCCTTCCCTCCAGTGTGTCCACCTGGAGATTGCTGGTGGGCTGTCCAGCCACCCAACCACATCTATGTGTACACCTGTAAACACCTTGTCCTTGATTCCTGCCATAGTGGTTGAAATGGGCTGAAATGACATTTGCTAGCACCAGAGACCAGTGGAGACAGGATTTCTGTTGGTGGGGTCTTCCCAGTCAATACCGACTTCCTAAGCTTTCCAGAGGACCATTTCTCCTCAAGCAGCTCCACTCCTTTCTGGCAGGATGGTCCTATCACCCTCAGAATCTCAGGGCTTTACAGGTTGGATCAATGGGCAATTGTTCCAGAAACACATTGAACTGCCCTAGTCTGGGTTTCTCTTTTTTTGTTGTTGTTGTGGGTTTGTGGGGTTTTTTTCTTCCCCTTTTTTCTGCCTTTATCAAACCCCCAGAGATCTGAGCAAAAATAGAAAGAATAAGAAAACGAGTTCTATCATAACTTTTGTCAAGGGCAGAGAAATAATTTCCCGGCCTGCTTTACTCCTTCCCAGCCCCAGAAAAGTTTTATGAGCTGCAGCAATCAGGCTCTCAGGAGGTGCTTGAGAGGAAAAGGGAGGCCACAGAACCAGGGCCGTGTTTCCATCTGGTGTGACCCAGCGGCGTTTCAGCTGGTGGAGGCCGAGTGCCTTCCCCCGGCCGTGGCTCGGGCCGGTGACCCCAGGTTGTGGCAAACCCCCTGTGTCACCATCAGGGACTGACACCTGGCTCCTCTCTGCGGTGACCGTTCCTGGGGACTGAATACATCTTGATTCCATATTTTGATTTAACGGGCCCTGCACAATAATCACCTCTTAATTCACCCTCCCTCCTCTCTCCTCTCTCTGCTGAGGAACAGCAGACGGCAGATTTCATGTGCCATAAATATTTAGATTGTGCCTGTGTGTTTATAACACTTGCCGAGAGTGTAACTGGAGCAGCTCACACTCAGCAGCAACACCTGATGCTGGGGAAAGTTTCCATCACCTCATATGGACCAAACAGCCGTGCGCCATGAGCCGACCGCGCACTGGGGACCAGTAGCCGTGTTGTCCCTGCCCCTTCCTCCCCTGCCCCGCCGCTGAATAATAACAACAATAACAATACGGACGTGCTTCCATGTCCCTGAGGAGCTGCTGCTCTGAAAACCCTGGAAAAAAAAAAAGAAGCTGTGGCTGGGATTGAATTGAAACTTTTTGCAGCATTACCGTGGGTATATGGCACGGGGGAAGCACGTCCCCTGTGTGACCCAGAGGTTCTAGGCCATGTGCAGGAGATCCATAGTGCTTCCATGTGTCTCAGCCTCTCCAGCGTAGCCTGAGTGTCTTAATTGCATGGCATGGTTGCCTTTAAGAAGGTGGAATATCTAATGCAGGAGCTTTTTAAGAGCAGGTTAGACATCAGGAAGCACAGTAAAACTGATGGGCTTTGGGAGCACAGGAAAAGTCCAGCTGAAGTTCTAGACCCCGTCCCACAGCTGGCTGGCTCAGGCCAAGCTGGGCTGGGCTGGTTGCACTGGTTGATGTGGAGTGGGTAGACTGGCAAACTGGGCTCTCTGGCCCTTCCTTGCTGGAGCAGCAGCTCCACGTGGGCTCGTGGCCGTGTCCCCTCAGCCTCGCTGGCTAACACACAGCGGTCAGCCCTGCGCTTTCCAGAGCATCAGGTCTCTTAAGTGTTATGGAATTTTTTGTGCTTTAATAAATGTGTTTTTACTAATGTTTCTTTGGGGGAAAATATTTTTCTTTTGTTTCTCTGTGTAGCCTCTTTAGGACTTTGTGTGGAAGTGAAGCCAATAGCACTAGCTTTGCGTCTTTTTTCCCCGTCCTGTGCTTTTTTTCCTCTCTCGTTTTTTGGAGAGGAAATAAATCTCTGGTTTTAGTCCCTTCCCTTGCTCCTATTCCGCTTACCTGCTGTGTTCTCTGGTCTGTGGCTTTAGAAACAGGAGTAGTGACTCACTCACAAACTTAGGAAGGGTTTTCCTCCCTGGGCAGGTGATTTGATATTTGCCTGCTATGGGTGTTGCTCAAATCTTGTTCCTGGAACCTTAATATTTGTCATGGTCAAAGGTAAGATGTTACAAGAGATGGACTCTGGAGACATTCAAACCCCACCTGGACACGTTCCTGTGCAACCTGTTCTGGGTGGACCTGCTTTGGCAGGGGGTTGGACTAGATGATCTCTGGAGGTCCCTTCCAACCCCATGTGATTGATTCTGTGACTGCAAGTGATATCCAGTTTGGTAATTGTTGGGTTCTTTAAAGATTGGTCATTACCATCAATGGCAAATTTTGAATTTGGTGCAGTGAGGACTGGAACTAAGAAGGGAAAAAGAGAAAGAGAGAGAGAACCCTTCCTCATCTTGTTTTAGAATCGGTGGATGGAGAGGAAACATAAACTCAATTTTATGTGGATTATAAGGCACCTATAAAGAGAGTCATATGAACTGAGACACTTGGCTCTGTTACCCTAATGATACCTATGGAACAATATGTGAAACCTATTACACTATTCTGGCTATATGTGTGTATATATATATTTATATATATGTACTGAGAATGAGAGAGAGAGAGAGACGAAATATGGGGCCTTTATTTTTATTGGCTTCTGCAAAGAATAAATTACACAGCAAGGGCAAGGTTAAATTATTGTAAATGTCTGTATGAAAGGCATCACTTAATTATTAACAGTCCACTACAAATAAAAGGTACATATGCTAAAATGGCCTGACCTGCTGGATTGTGGGGTTTTGTTTAAAATTGTTGGTGAGGCCCACAGCTGACTTGTTCTCTGTCAGACAGGCTGGAAAAAGAGGCAGGGTAAGATTTCATTGCAAAGTGCCTTATATCCCCCTCTACCAGATGTCAAATGAATGCCTAG